ACGACGTCGTCGCAATCGTCGCCGTCACCGCCGTGGTCGTCCTCGTCGTCGCAGTCGTCGCCGTCGTCGTCGTCGTGGACGGCGTCCTCGTCGTCGTCCTCGTCACCAGCGTCCTCGTCGTCGTCGTCGGCTTCGTCGTCGTCGCCGCAGTCGTCGTCGTCGTCGTCGTCGACGTCATCGGCTTCGTCGGCTTCGTCGTAGTCGTCGTCGTCGTCGTGTTTGCCTTCGTCGTCGTCGTGGTCGTCGTCGTCGTCGCCGTCGTCGTCGTCGTCGCCGCCTGCTTCGTCGCCGCAGTCATCGTCGTTGTCGTCGTCGCCGTCGCTGCCGCCGCCGTCGTCGTCGTCTTCGTCGTCGTCGTTGCCGCAGTCATCGTCGTCGTCATCATCGTCGTCGGCTTCGTCGTCGTCATGGTGGTCGTCGTCGTAATGACCGTCGTCGTTGCCGCAGTCGTCGTCGTCGTCGTCGTTGTCGTGGTCGTCATCGTCGTCGAGGTGCTCGACGTCGACGTGTTCGTCGTCGTCGAAGTCAGTTTCGTAAGCGTCGTCATCGTCGGCGTTGTCGTCGTCGCCGGCGTCGTCGTTGTCGTCGTCGTCAACGACGACGTCGTCAATTTTGTCGTCGCCGTCGTCGTCGTCGCCGTCGTGGTCGGCTTCTTCTAAGTCATCGTCGTCGTGGTCGTCGTCGTGGTCGTCGTTGTCGTTATCGTCGTCGTCAACGTCGTCGTCACCGTGATAGGGGAAGTTGTCGTGGTCGTCGTCGGCGTCGTCGTCAGAGTCGTCGGCTTTGTCGCCGTCGAGTCGTCGTCGTGGTCGCGGCCGTCGTCGTCACCGCAGTCGATGGCGTCGTCGGCTTCGTCGTCGTCGTGGTCGCCGCGGTCGTCGTCGCCGTCGTCGTCGTAGTCGGCTTCGTCGGCTTCGTCGTCGGCTTCGTCGTCGTCGAGGTCGTCGTCGTCGTCGACGCCATCGTCGTCGTTGGCTTCATCGTCGTCGTCGTCGTCGTCGTGGTCGTCGTCGATGTCGTCGACGTCGTCTTCGTCGTCGTCGCCGTCGTCGCTGTCGTTGTCGTCATCGGCTTCGTCCTCGTCGACATCGGCTTCGTCGTGGTGGTCGTCGTCGTCGCCGCCGCAGTGGTCGTAGTCGGCGTCGTCGTCGTCGCCTTCGTCGTCGGCTTCGTCGGCGTCGTCGTCGTCGTCTTCGTTGTCGTTGTGGTCGTCGTCGTCGTCGCCGTCATCGTCATCGTCATCGTCGACGTCGTCGCCGTCGTCGTCGTCGCAGCCGTCATAGTCGTCGTCGTCGTCGTCTTCGTCTTCGTCGTCGTCGGCTTTGTCGTCGTCGTCGTCGATGTCGTCGCCACCGTCTCGTCGCCGTCGTCGTCGACGTCGTCGTCGTCGGGCGGATTCGTCGTCGTCGTCGGCAGTGTCGTCGTGGTCGTCGTCGTCGTCGTCGGCGTCGTCGTCGTCGGCTTCATCGTCGTCGTCTTCGTCGTCGACGTCGCCGATGCAGTCGTCGTCGTCGTCGCCTTCATCGTCGTCGTCGTCGGCTTTGTTGTTGGCGTCCTGGTGGTCGTCGTCGTCGACGTCGTCGGAGACGTCGGCTTCGTCGTCGTCGGCTTCGTGGTCGGCTTCGTCGTCGTCGTCGCCGTCGACGTCGACGTCGTCGTCGTCGGCTTCGTCGTCGGCTGCCTCGTCGTCGTCGGCTTCGTCGTCGTCGTCGGAGTCCTCGTCGTCGTCCTCGTCGTAGGCGTCGTCGTCGTCGGCTTCGTCGTCGGCTTCGTCGTCGTCGGCTTCGTCGGCGTCGTCCGCTTCGTCGTCGTCGTGGTCGCGTCGGCGTCGTCGACGCCGTCGTCGTCGGCTTCGTCATCGTCGTCGGCTTCGTCGTCGGCTTCGTCGTCGTCGTGGTCGTGGTCGTGGTCGCCATGGGCTTCGTCGTCGTCGTGGTCGTCGACGTCGTCGTCGGGGGCCTGGGCGTCGGCGTCGTCGGCCGTCGCCACCGAAGTCACTGGCGCCCTGTCGTTGTCGTCGACGTCGCCGTCCGTAGCGAGCATGGCTCAAGCCAGCCCCTTCGCTGCCGCCGTGCGGCGGGCGCCCGGCGCGAGCATGGTGGCGCGGACAGGTGAAGGGGCCCCAGGACACACAAACAAATACACACAAATAAAAATACTCCCCATATTTTTCCATATTTTCTGGGTTTCTGTCTTCCCCCCACTTCCCATAGTTTCCCATATTTTCTGGGTAACCCGCGATTAATTGTGTCTGTGTGTGTGTTTTTTCCCTCCTGAGACTCGTGCGGCACGGACGGCGGCACGGCGGCGGACACGCTGCTGGCGGCGGCTCACGGACTGGCTGCTGCCAGGTGTGCAGAGGCTGCGCGGCGAGCTGCATGTGCAGAAGGGCTGCACGATCATCCCGGGGCAGCCGGAGCTGGCCGACCGCGTCGCGGCGCTCGTCCCGGCCCTCTGAACTGCGCTGCAGGGCGTGGCGCCGGCGGAGGGGATCCCGAGGAGGAACGTGGCGCTGCACGCGGACAGCAAGGGGCAGTGCCTTGCCTCGGCAGACCGCGCGCTGCTGCGCAGGCTGCCGCAGGAGGACCGCCTGGAGGTGCGCCAGGCGCAGCGGGAAGTGCCGCCCGCGGACGCCTGCTGGTGGTGCCGGAACCTGGCGGCCCCCCCTTCCTGCAGGGCGCTGGCGAGGACGCGCTGATGGACTGGCTGGCAGCGGACGGCGCCACCACGGAGGAGAAGCAGGTTCAGGAGGAGCAGGTCTGCGGCCGAACTTCGGCCAGATCCACCTCGAGCGTGAAGGGACTGCGCGCGTGCTCCTGGCGCTCGCGCCAGGGAAGCGGATCCCGCTGGAGTCGCACCCGCAGGCCGTGGCCTTCGCGGACGGCCTGCAGGCGGGTCGGCGGCTGGGGTAGCGCTCGGCCGAGGCGGGCGTGAAGGAGAACGCGGGCACCTCGAACGACGAGGCGAACGACGAGGACGAGGAGCAGGCGGGCGGGCAGGCTGCTGGCATCAGGTTTCCCTCTGGCGGGGTGCCCCCTCACCCGCAGAGGACGGCCCTGTGGGTGAGCAGGCGGCAGCCGCGGACGCGAGGCCCCTGCCGGTCGACGCGGAGGTCGACGAGGACGCCCCCACGGACGCCTCTGCCGAGGATGCTGTCGTGCGGGCGAGCGCGGCTCGGGCAGGGATACAGGAGGCTGGCGCGGAGGCGACCCGGACAGGCGAGCAGGAGAGCCCGCACCAGCCGGAGGGCCCGCTGCAGGCGCCGGAGGAGCGCGAGCTGAGCGAGCAGGTCGAGGCGCCAGCCCCCGCGGGGGCGGGGCGGGACGCCGAGGCCGCACCGCCGTGAGCGCGGGCAAGCGCCCGACGGCGGCCGCTTCGACGAGGCGGCGTGCGCGGCGCGCCCTGCGGGGAGCGCCTCGGCCGCCACGTGCGGGCGGAGTGCGCCGCCGAGGGTGGCCGTGGCCACGGCGGCAGTGCTCTTGGTCGGGTTCCCCCTCGAAGCGTGCGCCGAGCTCCTCGAGGTCTTCACGGCTCGGGTGCTGCTAGAAGTACCGTGTACCCCTGGCCCAAGGTACCCCCAGGATTCTCGGCGTGGCCCAGGCGGCCTCCGGGGCACCCCTTACGAGGCCCAGGGGACTCCAGGGGCTCCAAAATGGAGCGGAAAGCTGGGGGCACCTTGGGCCAGGGGCACTTCTAGCAACACCCGAACGGCGGTGGAGGCCGTCCTGGAGCCGGAGTCAGACGGCCTCCTGGTGCTCAGCGACGCGGAGCAGGTGGGCGCGAAGGAGCCCAGGAGGTGGCGCGGGTCCGGGGTCATCCTTCAGCCCCCCCCCCGCCCTTGGGCGGCGCCTCGGCCCCTCACCCACCCAGGTGCGCGGCGGGCGAGAGGGCCGTGGGAGGCCCCGTCGGGCACCCGCGCGGGCTACTTGAAGGCCGCTGGGCGGCAGGCGCGCTGGGGCTTCGGCTCCGCGACCGCGTGCGCTGCCCGGCGCGGGCGGGACCACCCGCGCCGCCGTCGAGGATCGTCGAAGAACGCAGCCGTCGTCGTCGTCCTCGTCGTCGTGGTCGCCGCCGTCGTCGACGTGGTCTTGGTCGTCGTCGTCGGCTTCGTCATCGTCGTCGTCGTCGTCGTCGGCCACGTCGTCGTCGTGCTCGCCATCGTAGTCGTCGTGCGTGTCGTCGTCGTCGTCGTCGTCGTCGTCGTCGACGTCAGTGTCGCCGTCGTCGCAGCCGTCGTTGTCGTCGCCGTCGTCGGCCGTCATAATCGTCGTCGTCATTAACTTCGTCGTCGTCGTCATCATCGTCGTCTTCGTCTTAGTCGTGGGGGTCATCGTCGTCGTTGGCTTCGTCGTCGTCGTCGGCTCCGTCCTCGTCGTCGTGGCCGTCGTTGGTTTCGTCCTCGTCGACCTCGGCTTCGTCGCCGTCGTCATCGTCGTCGGGCGGCTTCGTCGTCGTCGTCGGCCTCGTCGTCGTCGTGCTCGTCGTGCTCGTCGTGCTCGTCGTCATCGAGGTCGTCGTGCTCGTCGTCGTCGTCGTCGTCGGGCGGGGGCCTCCCCGAGCCACCCGCTGGCGGCTGGAGGGGCTGGGCGCGCCGGGCGCCGGGCGCCGGCCGCTGGGCCATGCCGTCAGAGGCACCGCCGGGCTGGGCGCCGGGCGCCGGGGGGTCCGGCGGTGGCTGCGGCATACGCATTCCAATCGCACATGCATGACGCACATGTGAATACCGTATATGTATACGCGCAGACACAGATACACATGACAGTAGAAGTGCCTGTGTGTACATGCGGGCACACCAATACATATATATATATATATATATATGCATATGTATAGATGCATACATACACATTAAATACAGATGTCGACCTCTATATCTATATATATATATATATATGCGATACGTCTTCGATGTGGTATATGTAATATATGCATATACAGACATATGCATATGCAATGACGCACGCTTAAGCACGCATCCGTACAGCACTCACGGGAGACGCCTCGCGCCAGCCCTCCATGGAGGTGCCGGGGCTCAGCGCGCGCAACTCTTCCTCGTCGATGGCGAAGAGGCCGTTCTCGGCCTCCGCGCGCTGGCCGCGCGGCGCTCCCGCGAAGGCCAGGACAGGCGCACGGTGCAGGCAGCTGCCGGTCGAGGACCGAAGCTCGAGGGCCCAGGCTCTTGGACGGGCCTGGCCCTCTGGTTGCCATCGCTCGGACGTCCATTCCCTGTGCCTTTGGCATACATCGGGGGCACTCTGGAGCAGCCAAGGGGCTTCCAGGGACCTCCGGAGGTCTCAGGGGCGCCCCCCCGAGCCTCCAGACACCTCCAGGGATCCCTGAGGACCTCTGGTCACCTCGCTTCGCACTTCGCGCTGCGCGAAGCGCGGGTTCTGCTCGGGCTCTCGCGCCGCCCACGTGAGACTCAGTGGAGCAACTCTCTGGCCCAGGCCACGCCGCGCGACGCGCGACTACCTCCGCTGGCGACGCCAGCACAGCTCGCCGGCTGCAGCGGGAACGACAGGAGGACCAGGCCCGACACCGCGTGTTTCCGTCACGACGTGGGCCCCTAAATCTCTGGACACCACCCCCTAGGGACGGCTCTTCCGCGCAGACGTGCGGTGTGTTTGTGTGTTGTGTGTTGTGTGTTGTGTACTGTAAGCTGTGTGTTGTGTGTTGTGTGTTGTGTGTTGTGTGCTGTGTGTTGTGGCTTGTGGGCTGTGTTTGTTGTGAGATGGGTGCTGTGTGCTGTGGGTTGTAGGTTGTGTGCTGTGTGGTGTGTGCTGTGTGTTGTGTGTTGTGTGTTCTGTGTTGCGTGATGTGTGCTGTGTGCTGTGTGCTGTGTGCTGTGTGTTGTGTGTTGTGTGCTGTGTGTTGTGTTGTGTGTTGTGTGTTGTAGGTTGTGGGTTGTGAGTTATGGGTTGTGAGTGGTGTGTTGTGTGCTGTTTGCTGTGCGCTGTGTGTTGTGTGCTGTGCTGTGTGCTGTGTGTTGTGTGTTGTGTGCTGTGTGCTGTGTGTTGTGTGTTGTGTGTTGTTGTGTGTTGTGTGCTGTACGTTGTGTGCTGTGTGTTGTGTGTTGTGTGTTGCGTGTTGTGTGTTGTGTGTTGTGTGTTGTGTGTTGTGTGTTGTGGGTGATGTTTGTTGTGAGTTGTGGGTTGTGTGTTGTGGGTTGTGTGCTGTGTATTGTGTGGTGTGTGCTGTGCGTTGTGTGTTGTGTGTGTGTTGTGTGCTGTGTGCTGTGTGGTGTGTGCTGTGCGTTGTGTGTTGTGTGCTGTGTGTGATGTGTGTTGTGTGTTGTGTGTTGTGGGTTGTGTGTTGTGTGTTGTGTGCTGTGTGTTGCGTGTTGCGTGTTGTGTGTTGTGTTTGGTTGCTTTGTGCGTTGTGTTGTGCGTTGTGTGCTGTGTGTAGTGTGTTATGTGGTGTGTGTTGTGTGTGTGTGTCTGCGTGTGTGCGTGCGTGCGTGCGTGCGCGGGTGTGTGTGTGTGGTTGTGGTTATGGTTGTGGTTGTGTTTGTGTTTGTGTTTGCGTTTACGTTTGTGTGTGTGTCTGTCTGTTTATCCGTCCGTCTGTCGGTCTGTCTGTGTGTGAATGTGTGTGCGTGTGTGTGTGTGTGTTTGTGTTTGTGTTTGTGTGTTTGTGTGTTGCAGGCCCGGGGGGCCGCGAGCCGATATCGGACGCCCCCAGAGGCCGAGGAAGGATCAACACCAATACCAAAGACCCCGATGACAATGACGATGACGACGACGGCGTCATCGTCATCGACATCGTCATCGTCATCGTCATCGTCATCGTCATCATCGTCGTCATCGTCGTCATCGTCCTCGTCATCGTCATCGTCGTCATCGTCATCGTTTCCCTGCTCGGGATCTTGAGAACACTCTCGCTGTGGAATTAGTCCTGGCGCCCGGGGGTCCAGGGAGCTCCGCGCGAGCGCGCGCCTCTCACCATCGCTCGGACGTCCATTCCCCGTGCATGCCTCGATGTCGTGCACAGTTGTTGTTGTTGCAGATGATCCTGGGGAACCCAAAATGTACTGATACCGCTGCTCATCGGACCTCTCCCGGGGTCCGTTCTGACCAGGACTCCGAGGCGAATCCAGCAGTGGCGACGAGGGCCGCCCAGGAGGCCCCAAAAGGGGAAAACGAGGAGAGGGTAGAGGTATGGGTACCTTTGTCCTCCTCTGGTCGAACATAGCAAATAAAAGCAAACGCCACAAACAGAAACTTTTGGCGCTCCGCGCGGATTTCTTGGATCTGCGCTGGAACCCCCTCCCTGGCGCGCTCCGCGCGCCAGGGGCGGCGCGGGAGGCGCCGCCTTGGGGGCACAGCGCGGATCCAAGAAATCCGCGCGGAGCGCCAAAATCTTCGGCAGATGATCCATATCTGATAGGCCGATTTTCCACCACCACGACTATGGGTAGGAGAGGGAGAGGAGGAGAAGGAGGAGGAAGAGAAGGAGGGGGAGGAGGATGGGGAGGAGAAGGAGGAGGAGGAGGAGGAAGAGGACCTCCCCATCCGCCCCTCTCCCCTGGTATACCTATGGTAGCGCTGGTGTCAAATTTGGCCCATCACAGTCTGCTCCTCGATGGTCCTCGCCGAACAAGAACATGTACACTGTTTTCCTGCGCGAGAGGTCGCCCCGTAAAAGGGAGAGGAGCCGACAAAAATGTGAACGCCCGAGCGACGCCAAGGAGGACGGAAGAGGGAGGCGGGAGGAGGGAGGAGGAGGGAGGAAAGAGGAGGGAAGAGGGAGGAGGGAGGAGGGATGATGATGATGATGATGATGATGCTGATGATGATGATGATGATGATGATGATGATGATGATGATGATGATGATGATGATGATGGAGATGATGATGATGATGATGATGATGATGATGATGATGATGATGATGATGATGATGATGATGATGATGATGATGATGATGATGATGATGATGATGATGATGATGATGCTGATGAGGAGGAGGAGGAGGAGGGGAGGAGGAGGAGGAGAGGAGGAGGCGGAGGAGGAGGAGGAGGAGAGGAGGAGCAGGAGGGAGGAGGAGGAGGAGGAGGAGGTGGAGGGGGAGGAGGAGGAGGAGGAGGAGAGGGAGAGGGAGTAGGAGGAGGAGGAGAATGAGGAGAAGAAGAAGAAGAAGGAGAAGGAGGATGAGGAGAAGGAGGTGGAGGAGAGAGGAGGAGGAGGAGGAGGAGGAGGAGGAGGAGGAGGACCAGTGTAAACCCAAGAGTCTTCAACTGTGTTGGGGTGAACCCTCCCTCCAAGCTCCCTCTTCATAAGCCCCTACAACCGTTGATTTCAATTGATGGAACTGCCTCGTTGGAAGACTCCCGTGTGAAGACACTGAAGCATGCTAAAACACTGTTCTCGGGATTACAACACCTCGGATCAACCTGACTGTTGCGTATTGGCGATCCTGAATCGCGCCAGAACGCCATTCCTAGGACTTCAACACAGCGAATCAATGTACAGAACTGGTGTACCCCCATAATCCTGAATCCTTCCAACACACCATTCCTGGTACGTTGATGATGGGAATCCGTGAAGCCCTTGCGAGTGTTAAAACGAATGTGCGCGGCGCTAAGACGAGAGCCACACGTTGAAAAGGAACCGCCCTCAACCCGTGACACTCTTGCAAATGTTTGAAACGAATGCGTGCGGCGCTAAGGCGAGAACCGCATTTTGAAAAGCACTCGCCCTCAATCCGTGAAACCCTTGCGAATATTCAAAACGAATTGCGCGGCGCTAAGGCGAGAGCCACATTTTGAAACCACCCGCCCTCAATCCGTGAAACCCTTGCAAATTTATAAAAAGAATGTGCGCCGCGCTAAGGCGAGAGTCATATTTTGAAAACGACCCGCCCTCAATCCGTGAAACTCTTGCAATTTAAAAAAATGGACGCCGCGCTAGGGCGAGAGCCACATTTTGGAAAGGGCCCGCCCTCCATCTTTGAAACCGTTGCCAAATTTAAGCTTCAGAGTCATAAGTGGTGAGGAAGACTCAGGCGAAACGCCCGGCCCGCCCTAAAAAACTGGCCTCAGGGTGCGACAGGGAGAAATTATTGATAAGGAAACAGTGATGGAGGAGGAGGAGGAGGACGAGGAGGAGGAAGTCTGTTTCCTTTTTCATGGTATTTGAGGTCTCTCTTGCCTCCCCCTCTCCCTCTCCCTCTCCCTCTTGCACGTGTCTGTCTGTCGGTATGCCCCCACGTTTACAATTGTCCCCATCTGCAGGCGACCCCTGGAGCGGTGCTACAGGGGCCTCCTGGCATTAGCTCGATCAACCCCTCCAGGGCCGACCAGCCCTGGGAGGGGGGATGGCAACATCGGTACCGAACTTCACGCCGTCAGCTACCAGGAGGAGGTCGAGCGTGCCCAAAAGGGTTCATCCACGAATCACTCGCCTACCGCCGCGATAAGGAGGAGGAGGAGGAGGGGGAGGGGGAGGAGGAGGAGGGGAGGAGGAGGAGGAGGAGGAGGAGGAGGGGAGGAGGAGGAGGAGGAGGAGGAGGAGGAGGGAGGAGGAGGAGGAGGGAGGAGGGAGGAGGAGGAGGAGGAGGAGGAGGCGGAGCCCGATGGAGATCCGAGGACGGAGGTTCGAAGCTTCTGGACGCCTCAGGGCCTTGGGGGGGGCTCCCTGGGGCGCCCTCCTGGCCACGGCTGGATCCGCCTCGAGCTTCTGGCCGGGACGCACCCCGGGAGAGGTCCGGAGAGCGAGCTCCGAGGGAAGGGCAGGAGGACGACCAGTACAGTCGGGGCGTTGACCTAAGGAACCCTAAATAAGGAACGAGGCCCCTTTTTCCCATACGTTAACCTTCGATTTCCTGCCGAAAACAGAAGGAAAGCCTGAGGCAAGCTGTGAAACAATCAAGGAACACCGAGCCCCTCCCCAACGAAAAGCGTTCCTTCTTCAAGGCCCCGACTGTAGGGGAGGCGGAAGGAGACCGAAGAGAGGGGGGAGCGAGAGGACACGAGCAGCGGTGCGCTCGTACACCGCATGCTCCTGGCGTGCGCCGACGTGCTTTTCTTTCCCGCTGGGGCCCAGGATGCACCAACACATCGCCTCAGCAGGCGCTCAGCTGG